CTTTCCTTTCGTTTTATGCCACTCTAGATGACATTTTTCTGAATCAAAGGGAAAAAAGAAGTCATTCAATTACAATTAGAAAGATCCTACTGTAAAGTAGAGTTCTGAAAAGTTGGAGGGCGGGAAAATATCCTGTACTTCTGTGTCAAATTTAGGCCTTTTGATATGGGCATAGGGATAGTCTGGTCCCACATCTTTTACCAGAAGCTAGTCTTTTGGGAGTAAAAATAATATCTCTGTGCCAAATCCCTAAGGAGAGTTTAATATCTAATATTTTGTTTAGGGCTTGCCTTGATACACATGCTAATAAACAGACTTCATTCCTTTGTGCTATGTTGGTGCCTGAAAGAGTTGGGAAGAGCCATCCTTTTCATGTCCTCTTCAACTTCCAGGAGGTCCCTGTTCTTCCTCTCCCTCCCTTTCTGTAGTAGGGGTAGGAATTTTATAATTGAGGGGTGGGAGTGCAAACCCCTTGTTTCTATTTATGACCTGCATGCTAGCACTTAGCAGAGGTGAAGATAATAGGGGCATAGGAATATCACACTTGTCAGTTTAATTCAACTGCTCATTGCTTTTGCTGCTTACAGCTTTCTGAAAATGATGAAGCTCTGGTAAAAGCTATGTCTGCCTTCTGAAATGTAGATAGTATGGTCTACCTGTGAAGTGATTGGAAAAAAAAAAGTTCATCTCTTTCTTTCAGACCGACAACTTCACGTTGTGTGTTGAACTAGACAAATGTTAGTATTAAAAAATTGGTACTTAAATAGGATTACAGAATTATATTTGGATATTCACTTTAGTGTAGATATCTGAAGTGTTAGAAGTGATATCTTGAGTTTAAGTTGGCCTGTCTTTTCAGAGCTAGACACTTGGTGCTTGAAACAAATTCTATCTTGGAGATCAAGGTGAGATCACCGAAGAATTTGTCTCATTCTTAGTATTTGGTAATGCCAAATCTGGATTCATACTTAATGACATGTGCATGATGTTCGGCTTTGGATTTTCCATTCTATATCTTTAAAGTACTTGTAAGCCAGTTTGCTTAATATGTGGGAAGCTACCTGTTAAGAATTATCCTTAACTCCTCCTCCCAGTCTTCTGATGTCCTTCCAAAAGCCTTGTGTTGGCATTGCAAGCTTCTGCTCAGGCCAAGTATCCATTAAAACCCAATAACTGCTCCCTCCCGCTAATACCCAGTAAGTTCACTGGTGAATCCAAATCCATAGTCATTAGCTCTGACTTTTCTAATAATGGTGAGCGGACTTATAGTATCTTTTATTTCTTGCCAGCTACCTCCTCTTTGGATAGGTTTCTTATGGTGTGGAAGCTGAAGACACAATGCAGAGCTTACAAATTTATAGGCCATGCGGAAGCGGTGACCAGCGTACAGTTCTCACCAGATGGGCAGCTACTTGCTTCAGCTTCTCAAGATCGTACTGTCAGGCTATGGATTCCTTGCATGTGAGTATAACTGGGCGATGCTGGCTATGTGTTTCATTAATGTGCAATGTGAATATTGGAGTCTACACCCAAGAAAAATTTCTCTTTCCTTCCCACATCCCTGACTGGGCTTTGACAGAAACAGAGATTGGGAGCACAAGCAACACAGTTCTTTACTGTGTTACTTTGTTCTTCACTGAATATTCCGTAGTTTCCAAATAAAAATACAGTAATTCAGAGGTCATAATTTCATGTGGGTAGGACTATGCTGGGAAGTATTTCTCTGGCTTAAAGGATATATTTCTTTTAATAAGGATTGCATGGCTGCACTTCATTTTGGGGAGACAAGTGACGAAGGAAACAAAAAAATAGCATTTTTGGGGAAAAAAAAATATTTTTAATTGACTTGTCTTTTTAGACTCTTCTCAAGTAGTAGTGATTATGAGCTATTCAGAATGATCTTAGACTGATGTTACTTTAACTCTTAAGCATTTTGTAGATTACGATATCAAAAAAATATTATAAATTCTCTTTCAAATACTGTATGGAGGCTAATGCTGCTAGTTAATTGCACTGTTTTCTCAAATTGGTCATATTAAATACAATTACTTTAAAGTCTGTTATTCTAATATTTAATATACAAATAAGGCAAAAAATATTTGCAACACTAAGATTTAGCCTGTATACATTGCTTTTTCATTTGGATAAGATTCCAAATATGTTAACTTTGAGTTTTATGGGGTTTTAAACTCTTTCAGTTTAATATAACTGTGTTTTGGTTTGGTGTGGTTTTTTTCCTAGTCATGGAGAATCATCAGTACTGAAAGGTCATACGGCATCCATTCGTAGCGTGAGCTTCTCACATGATGGCCACTTTCTAGTTTCAGCATCCAACGATAAATCAATAAAAATATGGGGTGTTTGCCGTCAGCGCCTTTTGTTTTCCCTATTCCAACATACTCATTGGGTTCGCTGTGCCAAGTAAGCATTGTTTTTATTCTATTTGTAAAGAAGCAGAACTCCTAACAAAGGGGGTTTTATTTCTCAGGGCAGAACCAAGAGGATAAAAATCTGTGAATGATAAATGATGATCTATCACTTAATAATAAAACTTTAATAAATCAATCTCACACACACACACGTCATGTATATGTCCTAGTTGAAGTCTGAAAGCTTGCTCTGTGTTAATATGTGTACATATTAAATCTGTTGCTGGGTGTTAATTCTTTTACATTAAAGGACAAATAAGGTCTTCTGTATTTATTTTCAGTCAGTATCCTGTCTCCTTCCCCAGTCCTGTATGTTTTTTTGCTGTATTAACTTATTTCACAGCATTCACTTGTTTCTAGATTTACTATGCATGGTAGGGGTTTTCTCAACTATTCTTGGAACAGTAGTGGCATAAAAGAATGGTCATGAGTCAAAACGAGTTAAGCTTATGTAACTGGAAAAGGTAAAAGAAATGGCCTTTGTACTGCAAGTTAAGATTCACACTCTATTTAAAGGCAGAGCAGTTCTTCAAAGACAAGAAAAGATTGTTCTTTGATTTATTTTTTTTCTTCTTCTTTCCTCCATATTAATGGAAAATCTGCAGCTAAGAGAGGCCTGATTTAAACCTCTTGAGAAAGAAATTTAACACTAGTGAAGTGCAGAGCCCTACAAAGTTCCAAAGTATCTGATTGTTGAAAAGAAAAATAAAAGCTGTAGGAAATCATATGTGAAAGTTCTTGAACAGTGTTCTAATGTCCTTGTGCAGTTGCTCAATATGAGAATAATGATTGGTGAAATTATAGACAATCAATTTTCCTGTTTAAAAACCTAGTCTGCTAGTCTAGGAATAATCATGAACGTTTTGCTGACAGTTTGTAAGTCTAGAGAGAACTCGCAAGAGAATATATGTATGTAGGTTAAAATTGAACACAAGGTTCTACTGTGTCCTCTTTGTCTTTTTGCCTACAGTTTTCTATAATAATCTCTTTGGTATCTGAAGTGACAACCTTAGGTTGCTGTTACCTTCCCTCCCCACCCCCGCCTCTTTCTCTTGCTTATAGCTCTGTTTTTAATTGTAGTTGATTGTGAAATGGAGGGGGGAGGAGTGGGGGGAGAAGGTTTTCTTTTCAGTTTTATTACTCCATGAGAAATATGAGAAATTCAAATGTCTTTTGAATGTTACACATTTTAATTCCAAACAGGCTTTCTTGGTTCTGGTGTTTTGCTACTTGCGTCTCTAATGCTAATCTAGGTAGTATAGGTTTTTTAGTAATGTATACACTTACATGTTCCAGATTTTCACCTGATGGAAGACTAGTAGCATCTTGCAGTGAGGATAAATCTGTTAAGATCTGGGATACAAGAAATAAAACTTGTATTGATAGCATCTTAGATTATGGAGGGTAAGTGTTACTAGAAAAAAGGAGAAATGTAAATGTGTAGTTTTAATGAGATTAAATTCATGTTTTATGGTATTAACATCTATATATGTTACATCTGAAAATAGATCAAACTTCTACCACCCATGTAAACTAAAATAACTCATTTTGCTTTTTCTAAAAAGGTTAACTGGCTGCACTTATCCAGCTGTTTGCGAACAGTCAAGAAATAAGCCAGAGAGAAGTCAGATTGTTCTTGGGTTTTTGAACATTTTCATGTTTTTCCTCTTTCGATAATGCTATTTGATATTGGATGCTTCAATAAGAATAGAAGTTTAAGAATTATCCACTTGTTGATAAAAACAGAATTCTGTTAGTTCAGTGACCTGCTTTACTTCGGTTTAGAAAATACTTGCTTTTACTTACCTGAAGTTTTCTTAAACATCTTGGAACCAGAGTTTTAATTAGCAAATGCAATGGAATATTAATTTTGTATATGTGCTTTGCTAATTTCATGGCTGCCATCTCTATCCTTTTTCCAAGCTAAAAGTTTGTTATAGCTAGATATTCTGTTCTTAGAAAAAATTATTTTACTTGCTGCTTACAAACTCTTTGCAGCACTTTCTTCTAGGAACTCTGTACTCCAACACAAACTGTGAAGGTTTGCGTCAGGACAATTATACTATCTTTTTAACAAAAGCCAGATTATACAGTCTGATTTATCACACACATCTTGTTTTCTTATGCTTAATTCAGTTGCTTGAAATACCTGATTTGAGTTTCCTTACATGCGGATTCCACACAAGTTTGTGGCAACTCGGTGTTAATATTGTAGGGTTTTTATTTGTGTGTGTGTATACACACACACACGGGCCAAATATTTCTATGGAAACATGTAATCAATCTATTTTCATTAATAGATTTGCAAATTTTGTGGATTTCAACCCAAGTGGTACATGTATAGCTTCTGCAGGCTCCAATCATACAGTGAAACTGTGGGATATTCGAATGAACAAGCTACTGCAGCATTACAAAGGTAAAAAAAAATGTAGTTTGCTGTATTTTCTTTAGAATGGAGCTCTTTGCAACAGAATGTGATTTATTTAGATTATATGATTTCATTCCTTGCTGGGGAAAGTGGACAAACAGGTCATATTGGCATTTCGTAAGTCATCTTTTTGTAGTCTAGCAACCCTAAAAATTCAATCTGAATCCTGATTATTCCTTTGCAGTGCTTATCTTAAGTTTTAGAATGGAACTAAATAAATACTTTGGAGAGTCTTCTATGCCCCAGCACTTTGGTTGTTTTTCCCTTGAACGAAGTAGGTTGTTCTTTGGGAAGTAGAAAAGAGCAAAGAAATAAAGTGTGCATTTCCTGTTAGTTATCTACAGTCTTTGAATATTGTCTTCTGTAAATTAGTTCACAGAGCAGGGGTTAATTGTGTATCATTCCATCCTTCTGGTAACTATCTCATCACTGCTTCTACTGATGGCACCCTTAAGATTTTGGACCTCTTAGAAGGAAGACTTATTTACACCCTTCATGGACACAAGGTATACACAATAATCCTATTTAAATGGAGATCTCAATAGATTATTCAGTATCTTTTCAAAGGGAAAGTAACATTTATGTCACTGTGTCTTGTATTTTGCAACTTGCAGATAAAATTTAGCGGACAGCAAAGTGTTGTATTAATAAACCTTGTCACAAGTGCATAAGGAAATGCATCAATTTTACCTACGACCATGCAGTTAATCTGTCAATATTGTATGCATGCTTAATGTTAAGTAATAGATCATGTTCTGAATTAATTAATAATTCACTCTTTTGATTGTCAAAATCAATTATTTGGCACATTAGTCTTTTTGTCTGTTGGAAAACAGTGCTTTCTAAGGAGGGGGAAGCTTATGGAAGATAACTTTTGTGAAGAATGGCAGATGTTTTTGCCCTTTCCTCTTAATGCAAAACAAACACTACTTTTGATAATGAAGCACTCAAACACATTGTCTTGAGTAATGTAATATATATTTGATAATTTTTCATTGCAGAGTTAAAGCATAAAACCTAAGGAAAATGCCACTATTTTCCTAGTATTGATAGTAGCAATTGTAATGCAGCATGTTAAAAAGATGTGCAATATTACCTCTTCAATCAAGTTGTTTTGCAAAAATTTCACTACGGTTAAATTGTTTCTTATCTTATTAAAATTGAAAAATCTATTTATGTTACATAACTGCATAAGTGTTTTTCTCTTTGCATTAAAATACCATGATTACAGTAATAGCGTAATTTTACTGTATGCTTTTTTTTCCTCTTTCAGGGACCTGTACTTTCTGTGGCTTTTTCAAAAGGTGGTGAAAAATTTGCCTCAGGTGGAGCCGACGCTCAGGTTTGTGGTATTGCCTCTTTAAATTAAATGTCTTAATGTTTATTACAGTGGATGGGAGTTAAATATAGTATTTCACAGTGACATGCTAATTACAGTATGCTGACATGCATACTGTCTAGTAGTGTGTTAGAGACTTTGTTTAGCCTAAAGTTAAATTTGAGGAGAAAAATTATAAATACATCATTTAAAAACTTGATCTTAACTACTTTAAATTGGATGTTACAATGAGGAGAAGACCACAATGCTAGCTGCTTCTGTTTTACATATTAAAATAAAGGAATGATTTTTAACTAGAAATATTTAAAGTGTTGCAATTCAGTGTCAACAAAGTATTTGTGTTGCAACTAGTATTAATGCCTACATGCTCCATTAGGTTTTCACTTCTTTTAAAGTCGCTACTCTGTAATCGTAAGAATTAAGTTGTACTACTGGGAAAACTTTGGCTAGAATTGGGAAAAAAAATCTTGTGTTTAGCTTTGCTAATTTACATTGGGGAAACAGCAAAGTACTGGATTTCATACAGGGAAGAGTTGTTTGAGCATTTAAAGCAAAAAAGTTATTTTAAATTAAACAGCAAATCATGCAGTTAATCTTCATCTGCTGTGATAAATCTTATAATTACAAAAATACTATCAGGCTTGGAATCATCTCTATCCAGTCTTCACATTCTCCAGAAAGAAAGAACTTTTGTAGCCCACGGCTTAGAGTTTCACAGTCTGAAATGTTCCTTAATATTAGTTGTCTTTTTCATTGTTTCCTGTTATAAAAAGCTAAAAGCTCATTGTAGACCCAGAAAGCCATGCTGTAGAAATGACGATCTTTCGACTTTACCATAAATCATGTTTATATTCTGTTTTGTGGAGTTTGAAATACCTTTCAGCTGGTAACAGAGACAGTCTTGGAAAATAATAAATACTTCCTAATGATACCGAAGTTTTTAATTGAAAAGAATATAGTCTGTTTCTGATTTTTACTTCATGCTTCAGGTAGCACACTTTCTAGAATGACTTAAAAACACTCAGAGAAAAAAATTAAAATTGCTTTCTATCACAAGGCGTTAGTAAGAAGCCAAGCCAAGACTTGCAGTTATTGGAAAAGTGAAAATGTTAGCAAACTTCCAATATTAATTTTACAAGCAGAAAAAAAAAAAAACAAAAATGGGGAAAAGGATATTTATTCCTTGAGCCGCTAGTCTAATCTTTTATTTTCCATACTAAAGGGTTTTTTTATGAGACTTCTTCAGTTCCAAAATGAAACTTTGATTCCTAGGTAATCCTGAATTGTTGACCTTACTTTTCATGAGTACTTTCTTTTGAGTTTTATGACGATTGGTGTATTATACTTAACTTGAGAGGAAGTGAGGTGCATGTATTAAACTAGGTCATGTGACAGAAGATTCATCTGAGAAGCTATGGTGATGGAAAAGACCTACAGTATTAAGCCTAACTCAACCTCCCAAATAAATGCCAGCATACCCTGGGAATGCTTGACTTATTGCAAGGTTCCTTTGAATTTGGGGCTCCCTGAATGACATGCATGTTCAGTGCAGTCATGTCGTTGCCTTTCTCCTGCTCTGACTCCATGCTGTAGAGCTAACTGGTGGCACGTGGGATCATGGACTGAGTAGATATTATAGTGCAAAAATCTATAAGATGACTCATGTTTCTCAGCAGATTGGTATAGTGGTTTCATGCTGAATGCATGAGAGGGAAGATCCAGTTTCATCAGGAAGTGCTTTCTTAGGTGAATGTTAAAAAAGCAGTCATGGTAGGTCTAGTAATGAATCCTGGTTTTATTTACCTTACAGAAAGGCATGTTTTTATCTGTTGAAGTTTTTCCCTTTTTCTTGTGAACGTTCCGGTGGGAGAGGGCTACTTATTTTGCTGTAACTTTCACTTTTGTATTGTAAGTTTTAAAATGTGCAGTGCTAACCATTGTGTGGTAACTGCCTATGTATATATCTTTATCTATAGTAAACATAAGAACTTTATTCCTCAGTGTCCATTTTCTGTTGGTGTATACCCACATGTACTCCACAAACATCCTTTTTTGCTGACCTGTCCACAGTGCTCTTCCAGGTCTGCCAGGAGAATAGTTGTGGGACCTCTTCTCAACTTACTGTGGTAGAATTAAGTTGGCTTACTCTAAATGTAGGGTGTATTCATTTGAAAAGTTCTGCTGGCAGATCGGCAATGTCAATCTGATGAGCAGAGGCTGGCCATAAAAGTATTATCTTCTATCCCTCGTGCAGTATCCGAAAGATACTGTCTGTCCACAGCGTGAGTTGGAGGCAGCTGATTCACTGTAATTTTACCACAGATTACTTGCTCTATACACATATTATTTCAAGACTGTTACATTTTCAAACAACAGATAAAATCTGTTTTTCCTGCATCAAAGAAGGAAAACCAGTATCTCTGCTTCAGGTTTCAAGTTTCTTTCTGGTTGGTGCAGAGCCAGCTGAAAGCTTTGTTCGGAAGCATATTAAGTATTTGAAATAAGCACTGGATACTTCTTTTGTTTCTTCCTGTTTGCTTCTTTCCTCAACCAAAAAAAACCCGAACATGTAGAGTTCTGAAGTCCATGTTCTTCGCACTTCTTGACTATATGTGCACATAACAAATTATTTCATTTACCTGCTTCCATGGAAGACAGAAGACCTTTTACTCTTACTTTTAAGTGAAAGAGCAAAGTTAGACCTATTCCTTTGGAAGGTAGTTCCTGTGCTGTTAATTCAGTTCTTACCATATAGAAGAGACAACTCATTGTGTCTGGTGACTGCCTGGACATAAAGGGAAATACTTCCTTATGGAATAACTGTTTTTCTAGGGTTGTGCGTAGTTTCTTTTACACTGTTTGCATTGCAGTTGAGATACTCAAGCCAGCATGGAAACATCTGTATATGCCTTTACTCTTACTAATTTTGTTATCTGTAATGATGAAGCTGCAGCGGCATGGCCTTTCTCTTTAGAGCAAAATGAAACATATTTATAGCTTGAGCAGCTCAAATGCTCACCACTGATGAAAGGTCCTACTTCTGCTGCCTCCTGCCTATACCCTTGTTTGCACTCAGTGCTGAGCCAGTTCGAATTGCTAAACCAGCAGAAAACTAGCCTGAAAAAATGGGGGAAAGCCACATTAAAAATGTGAATAACTTGATGCTGGATTGGGTGATGGAAGTAGTGGAACTACACAGCTGAGAAGAGGAGGGAGAGAAAGCAGGATCTCTCTCTTTACAGCACAGTAAGCTGCTGTGAATCAACTAATCTAACACCTAGCTGTCCTGCAAGTGCCAGGTTCTGAGGCAGGTTTATATAGTTTGTACCGAGATCCATGCATCCCACTTTCACTGTTGCTAATGTCTTCGTTGGTTTGGGTCCATCTTTCTTGGTGCACTGTGTCTCCCAGTGCATATTTAGGGTCTTCCATTCAACAGAGTCATTAAAGGTGTTGAACCTGAAACGAACTTGTAGCAATGCAGCTAGTTAGGAATATATAAAAAATGAGATTTAGTCTGCTTGGAATTTCTGTGAACAAATCTGTGATTTGTGCTGCTTATGTATAGTTTATTAATTTCCAAAAAATACTTTTAATGGTTGTCAAAAATACTTTTGGCTGGACAGGCAAGAAATTTTAAGTCAGTCCATGGTCCCATCTTTGTTTCCTCTAATTTAGGGAGCAGCTATAAAAATCAGCATTGGACTTTTGGAAACTGCCATCTTCTAAGTGTTATGAGCTTCCTTTTTTGTTTTCTTTTTTTCCATTAGCACTTAAAGTAACAAAGATGGCACAAATCATGTAAACTTGTGGTAAACTTAATTAAATTACTTACATATACAGTTGTTTTCTAACATGAGAGAGCAGAATTGTCCATTATAATTTGGTTTCCTGGTCTATCCATAAGGCTGGATAGACTACCTTCTGCTATCTTACCTCTGCATTCTACTACCTTAATTCTGCATTTGTGCATTGTTACTTCTGCCGTGGTGTGACTGTTGTGTATTGTTTCTACCTTGAATGTAATTGGACAAGGTTCAGAAAACAGATTCCTGTTGCTAAAACACTGGAACCAGGTGCTTTAGAGTTCTGTGGAACTCTGTCATTTCTCTTATCCCCTCAACTCTCTCATTTGACCAGGAAGCCTTTATAGGGGACAGAAATTTGATAGTATATGACCCCTTGATTTGGCAGAAAAATAACTTTCTCCAGTGGGACAAAATTTTGCTTTGTTTTGTGATTATTGAGACATCTTTTAGAGATTTTTTTTTTAATAGATTGAACCACATCTATTAGACTTGAAGTACAAGATACTCTGGGGAAGTGCCTGTGTTACAGTAGAGATCAGACTAAATGATGACAGCAGGCTCATTCTGATGTCATGATCTATTAGTAATAACAGACTTCACTGAATAGTTATGTTTTGGTCACTGAAAAGGCTTCAAGTAGTTACTGATATGATGGCTTCTTACAGGTATTACTATGGAAAACCAACTTTGATTCATTTGATTATAAAGAAGTTCTTAAACACCATATTAGAAGAACACATATTGATGATCCTCCTCATCTTCTTGATATTTACCCGAGGTCACCTCATCTCCATGATGAAAAACTTCAGTCAGTTGAGGTGAGTGCAATAAGTACTCTAATATAGGAAACCAGAAGCTTTTGTAAACTTCTGGTTTACAAAAAATGTCTGTCTAGCATTTATAGTTAAATGTGTTCTATGTATACCAGAGAACTTTTTGTTATGTATAATACTTTGGAAGCAATCATAACTTATGAATCCATGTTACGGTTACTAGGCTATCTGATGCTGTCAGATTTATCCTGGTGAATTCCTTTCATGCTTCTTGTGTAAGTCTGTACTCTACATCTAATTTAAACAAAACATAGGTGATAGTCTGGTTTCTGAAGTAACATGGCAACTGCTATAGAAGATATCTGAATCTTCAGTGAGCTCTAGGATACTACTCAAAACACATCATTATAAGCCGGATAGGGTGGCATTATTAGTGAAAGTCAAATATTGACAATCAAAGACAACTTTGATTGGGTGGCATTATTAGTGAAAGTCAAATATTGACAATCAAAGACAACTTGATTGTCCAAGTTGTCCTTCTTTCCAAGACCTTTAGGTATTGTGAGAAGATCTTGATATCTAGTGAAAAGTTTAGAAAGCCTTTCTAGGCTAGTAGTGTTTTATGTCAATATGTAGTCTGATTTCCTGATAATTTCATTCTTCAGCTACTTTACTGTCAAACCTTCTACCAGCAACCCTTGGAAGTATTGGGAATTAGGGAACCAAAGTGAAATGTCAAATATTCTGTGTCAGTATTTGGAAAATCCTGTGTTTGTCAGGTTGTCTGAAAGCTATGCAAAATAGATAGACAGTACTATGCTTTAGACAAGACCATTGTTTATGCTAAAACCCCAGGGATATATTTATGACTGTCCTTGGTAGATCTGGCTAGCTTCTGCATGGTGATTACTTATATTTTTATCTCTTCTTTGATATTCTCCAGGTGCCCCTAGTGTCCAAGAGCTGTATCTGATATAAAAATAGGTACTTTTTGGTTGCTGTCATATACTAATAGAGTACTATAGAAATTCATCATTACCTGTTTTTGTTCATATAAAATGCAGATACTGCTACCATGGCATTTGTTTCCTGCTCAGACTTTTAAAACATTGAGATTTGAGGATATTGAGCTTTTGTGTGTGTGTATGCAATATGAATATATGCAATATGAGTACTATAAAGATTGAAAATATTTTGATGGAGGAGGGGAACCCTTATAGAATCCATCACTAAGTATTCTCATGTGTCTGGTTCTGTTGTCAAGTTGGATGTGAAACTTTCTGATGGCTTAGCATTTTGGTCAGAACAAGAGCAGGACAACTGCATGTATGACAAGCTTCAGAAACAAACTTCTGTGCCAGACTGTCATATGCATTGTAAGGTCAATGAATGAAGTTAAGTTTACTGGTAGCAGCCTTCAGTATAGGTGGTCAGTGCTGGAACAAACTCAATCACAGCATTTGCCAGCAGATTTTAAACCACTCTTGCTGCATCAACAGTTTGCTTCAAGACCCATTCAAATTGCACCCAGTCATAACACATGCTAAACAAACACAGTAGCTTATAGCTGCAGGGTTCAGTTGCTTTCTTTTCAGGTCAACTTTTCCAGACCTCTGCTGCTCAGATGCCTGGCAAAGATTTGAATGCTCTTTAAAGCAATTTTCCAGATTTTTTTTTTTTTCTCATCTCTGGTCCCAGGTAATTGAGAAGCTCTGGAAAAGCATTAATGAGTTCAGGCTGAAGTTAAACTAAGGCTAAGAAGCACCTCATTACCAATACTGAAAGAGCACATAAAGGAAATTTGATAGCTGAATGTCAAGAAATTATTTATCAGTTAGCTTTGACAGATTTCACTTAACCTAATGTCTGCATTCCTTCATGGCTGTAACATTTGTAGCAGCTTATAGGCTTCTGGGTTAGTTGCTCTGTAGTAGTGAAAGGGCTCTATGGCTTTGTCATTTGTCATAGCAAAATTTTGGACTTTTGTGGTATGTTTTCTGGCCTGATTTTAAGAATAAGGTTGCTGTGTTTAGTTTTCTATTAACATCACGTTATCTGTAGAATATCTTGCTCTCAAATAAACATGAATTATATTATATTCTTTGAGACAGAACAGTGTCTGATAGTTTCAACAGAACTGATATTACTGTAATGTACTATATTTTTATATTTGTAAATTAATATAATAATAATGATTAGGATCTCTTCTGCAGCTTATTTTCAGAAGTAATTTAATAATATAATAGTGTAGATAGTGTTAAAGGAAGTTATCAAGTTTCGTTCCTCCATATGTCTCTTCCTTTTTTTTACTGCCCCTCCTGTCTGTCTCGAGAAAAATTACGGGGTTTTGTTGTGGTGAGGAAGAATGGACCTCACCATCTATACAGAGACGTAATTTATCCAGACAAAACCAGTATCAGGTTACTACCAGCAGGAACATGCCTTAGTGGCACTAACTATGCTTGAAATTTTTCAGTGTTCCAACTTCTTAAATATTTCCTCCTGTAACTGAAAAAAAGCAGCATTTCTAGCCCCACTGTGCTATGCTGTACTCTGGAGAAGAAAAAAAAGAAGAGAAAGATTTTTGTCCTTCTTCAGTTAAAAGAAACATGCTTTTTTTTTTTAACATCCCAAACTCCTTCTAAGCAACAGGCAATAGAGAGAATTTTAGCACTAGGTAGTTCTACTGCAACACCACCCTCATCTTTCTATGGCTCATCATGTTTCTAATATACCAGGGAAAGGAGGAATTGAATCACAGATGTGTCAGAGGGAGCTTTTGGAGGCCATCTAGTCTTGTTGCCAATAGTACATCAAGTCAGCCATGGCTATGTCTAGTTAGGGGGCCTTGAAGAGGGATGGAGATTCCCCAGTCTCTCTGGGTGATCTATTCCACTATAGCGCAGCAATTGTAATGACACAGATTTTCCTAGTATCTCATCTGTACCTCAGATAAAATGCAGAACTACTTACTTTCTGTTTATTTTCTTTTTCATGAGGAACGGGGAAGATGATTGATCTTAATGAAACTGAAGTAACAGTATTTTAAGAGACTTGGTAACATATGCAAGAGTTACAGGCAGGCAGAGGAGGCAGTTCAAATACGGGATATTTAAAAGTATAGATGACATTTTAAGTTTTGCCAAAAGCCACTACTATGTCATCTATACACTTGATGTGTTATAATACATTGCCCTGACTTATGCTGAGCTGGTTA